CAGTGTCCTGGTCATTTTCTTCAGTCTCGTTTTCAGAACTAGACGGAAATCCTCTTCCCTTTTATCTCCTGTTTGTTCAAATTTCTTCATCCTCATTATTTAAGCATGTATTATCAGTTTCGAATAAATTATATCCAATTATAATTTGGTCATCTTCATCGTCTTCTAAACACCCCTTATTTATATTGTTTATCTCTGTCACTGGTATCTTCTTTACTGAACGTCTTGTCATGTTTAGGAGTAAATATTAGAAATATTAGGAGTAAATATTAGAACAATACATTAAAATAAAATGTAAACTAACTATTAAGTTTTGTTCACTTTCTCTTTCCTTACTATTTTCACACTGTGATGCTCTGTTTGGAACTCTCAAAATTAGACTGTTTTTTGATGTAGCAGTATGTACGATAATAATATTCGAGGATAATTTGAATGATTTTGGTTAGATCAAATCTCATATGCCTACTTTATTGTTGTTTTTAGAAATGGTTATTTAATTGGTTACAGTTGATATGACAAGGTACATATTTTTCTCAGAATAAACAAAATAAAAGCAAGCGTAAATATTGATAAAATTATTAAGTGGATATTATAGAAATCATAATTATATTCATATAGGAATTATAATTATAAATCAAATAGAGAAAAAAATAACAATGAATGCAAAATTTGTATTCAAAATTCAAAACCGGTCATTTGAGAAACTGAGATACGGTTAGTATTAAAATCATTTAGATGATCATTATCTGTAATACTAACATTTACTATTTTATTATTTGCGATTATGTCAGTACACTTTTCCTTACTCTTATTTCTTTTTAAAAAGATTACATCAGACTTTTTCTGAAATGTATTTAAACAAGGATAGTAGAGAATAACAATACGATTAATATTTTGCGTCGGAAGATGGTATGGAAGTGCATCTGTAAAAATTAAACCATTGTTCTCAATCGTATTTCTCATGTTTAGCTTTTAAAAATCGATTCACAAATTTGATTTCAATCTTAGTTCTATTTCCGTTTCGTCTCCGCTCCGTTATTTCAGTACAGAATGCAGTTTCACCACTCAGTTCTGTTTCAGTTACATACATGTATTTATACATCAATAATATATTATATAATATACTATCCAATATATTAGATTCTATTCTATGGACATCAACAACATAAAAAATAAGGATGGGCGTAGCCATAGAAAATTTTCTTTGTAATATATAATATATAAATTTATTCATTCTGTTTTCTCCACTTGTTGACGGAAAATAACTTTTAAAACCTTTATCAATTTTACATAAAAATATTATTTTTCGTTCTATAAAAGTGACATTTTTGGTATTATTTTAAAAAAATTTTGTTTTTTTATCAGTTAACCATAATTCTTTTTTGAAAATTAAGTATGTTAGAATATAAAGAATATTTTCGTCAAATTTGTTTTTTCTATTTCCGAAAAAGCAAAAACTCTTGGTAAATTCGTGAGGAAATTTGTCCTTTATATGGAGCCATAGAATGCTGTAGATGATTCAACATACAAAAAGTTGTTTAGAATATTTAGAGAGTAAATTTGGATGTAGAAATATTTTACAAAATACGTTAAGTCTAAGTTATCGCAACCAAATTTTATTGCCTTACGATTTAAGTTCCAATAGTATATTGGCATAAATAACAACAAGATCAGTCACACATCGAGCTTTTTCACGATTAGGCTGAGCGTTCGAAGTTGTGCAAATTGTACATGATATATAAATATATATAAATGTATGTGTAAAATACAACTAATTTTATTTTGCAAGATGTTTGATAAATAATTACTACCAATTGATCATTGAACAAGAAATATTTATTATCTTGAAGTGAATAATAAATTAATACAATTTTTTATTACAATTTCTAAATAAATACATATTTTAAATTATGAACGTCTTGTTAAAATTTTTAAAAAATTAATAATCTTGCATTGTGTGATATCTTTCGAATCATATTGGTACATGTAATGCAATTTAAAATTTTTTGCACTCTTATATTGTTGAAGTTATCTTGTATGATATTGTAGGTTTAGGAGTTAAAATGACTTCTAAATGAAAGATAATATTTGCGTGTGTGTAGATGATAATGGAGCAAATCTCATATGCTTTAAAATCTTACTTTCTTGACTTCGACAGAGTCAAATGAGATGCATGAAACAATCGAAAATCTTCTTTGTCCATAGACAAAAGATGTTAATAGAACTCAGCCCAAAAACATTGTTAATAAACATCGTTGACATAGTACACAGTGTTATCTATCAATAATAACTTTCTTTCACTTATCTATTTTTATGTGTTCGTTATACCACTGCTAGAATTAAAATCATTAAAAATCATTCAATAAAAATGTTATAATTCATATAATCAGGGACATATATGTAATAGGGATAGTACTTAAATGTACATCTTTTGAAACATCGAGGTTTATTACTCATTTCAGTTAATAAAGCGGGAATCTTGTCACGGGACAAAAGCCGTAATTCGACCTTTATGACTCGGTGTTAATCATTCATGTTGACACATGTCATTTGCGAAAAATATTTCCATAACAAACTACTTTCATCTGCGTTATACACATTTTCCAACATATAATTTTTTTTCCTTAGATATTCTATAAACTCTATTTAAAGCTGCAGATTTATCCGACGAAGGTTTTTGCCTGACGAATAGCCTACGAATATCGTAACGAGATTTGAAATTTTCTAACCAACCCGAGGATGCTTTGAAATTATAATCTTCATTCAATTTTCGATTGTACTATATAGTTTTTTCGTATACGATAGGACCAAATATCCTCTGCCTCTCTTCTAACAGAACCGTTGATACGTATCCATGTCAAGAATTTTATTGTTAACAGACTTCATATTTTTTTGTGTGCACTGCAATCAACTCTCACTATAATTTAGAATTTCACACTTTCATCTTATAATGTCACAAACTGTTGATTTTCCAATTCCACAAGACGCTGCTATTTCAAGATGTCACTTCAAGTTTTCCCGTTTAGATGGATCTTCATACTCTGTGCTAAGTTCTTCTGCTAATTGAAACAAAAAATTTCTCCTCGATATATTTTCACCAGTTATTTCGTTGTATAAAACCCAGGCATTTATTGCCGCTAACTCGAGAATTTTAAAAAATACTTGAAGAGGCCACCTTCGAGATCCTGACTTCATACTATACTTTCTGGCCATCTGATCCATCATGTCTATCCCGAATTTGGTTTTATTATAAAATATTATGGTTTCAGGCAGTTTTTTATTGTCTTTTTCAATGTTTACTGAATTATGTTTCGTACTCAGTAGAAGTACTTTTTTCGTTGCCTTACTTTTATATACTGTTAAAGTGCAATTATCTGTTTTATAAATTTCAGATGAAAATCGAGGTAAATTATTTTTTTTTTGTTTGGTCAGTTTTGGTAATTTTTTTTTTGTACGAATTGATCCAACCAAAGTAATCCGTTTTTCCAATAATTTTGATGCCAGTGATTTGCTAATAAAAAATTATCAGTGGTTACATTTCTTCCAGCACCGGTAAATGATTCAATTAATTTCAGGGCGACAAATTCACTCCAAGAAATTGATGACTGTCTTGTTTCGTCCTTTCCCAAATACGGGAACCCATTTATTATAAATTTACTTTGGAGATCACATGTCAACCAAAATTTTATTTCGAACTTATATAATTTGGTTTATTTTTATCTTTGATGACGTAGCTGGTTCTGCTTAATCATCAGATAGTGTTCCTGTGCTTTCTCGTATGCGTCGAATATGTAGTTTGTTTGATCTCTATCCTATAATCTCGCGGAAGACCTTCGCAGAAACTTACCAGTGTAAATTCCTCTATCTCGTTAATTTTCTCTTCCAATAACTGGTTAGCTTTAAGAGTCTCTTCCTCATAAATTGCTTGCTGTAAATTTTTAACTTTACTTATGTATTGCAAGATGTGCTCGTCGGGTTCCATGCAAATGTTATTTAATTCGGCCATATACTGTTGTAAGGTGCGATTTCGACCGAAACACCTACGAAGCACGTTGCATAGATCGTCTAGTGTAAATATTTCCCGATATTCTACGACGATGTAAGTTAAACCTCTGATATTATTTATAATGAGGCGAGTTATCATTGCTTCGCCATTTGGTAGTGATAATTCACGAGCGTATTTGCATGCTCGAATAAAATTATTTATCATTATATTTCGCCCATCTCAGCGTCCACGGCTGCGCGTATTGATAAATCACGTGCTTCTCGTGAGCCGATTTGCGTATCGTATACTTGTCAATGTGCCGTTACTATTTCCCGCAACAAAGATTCGAACGAGGTGAAATCCGGTTTAAATATGTTACATCTTATTAATACGGTCCTTAACAAAACTAATTTCCTAAGGAGCTCCGGCTTTCACGAGATCTTGTGCCTTTTCGGCCATTACCTGCCTGGGCAGTTCTTCTGGCTCGGGATCGGTACCAAATAGAATGTCGAAGCGACGTTGCAAACGCTCTCTTACCTCTTGGGAGAGTGATTTCAGACGGTGCTGAAACCTTATCTCCAAATATCTCGGAGTCCTAGGATCCAAGACTGGAAGGTCCAGTGGGGGGAATCCACATTCTGGTTGGCTGCAAAGGCATCAGGCGGTACGGTGGAAGGTTCTCTTTCTTCTCTTCCACGGACTCGACATCCAGTGCGTCGTTGTAATTTTTCGTTTCGTGTTAGAATTTCTTTAATAACCGACGTAATAGATATTTCCTGCCACTACGACGTACTTTAGGCATAAAGGTAGGAAGACGCTCGGAATGAGCGGTTAATTGGTAGTAGAAAAGGAGGAAAGAGATGTTCGTTCGGGAACTCCTCACCGAAACGACAATTTATATACATATAATATTTCGGATTGATTATTTGAGGTGATAAATGAAAATATGTTTCTCTGCGAACAAAGTAATAAATTTTTATTTGATAATTAATACTTATTTGCTAATTAGTCTTACCTGTGAACAAAGAAACGACAATTTACGTTTATTATTCACACTATTTAAATGTTATTTAATACATATTATCTAGTATAAATTTCCTTATAAACTCTCGTGCTAACTTTCTCTTCTATGTTCTTTTTTCTACTGCCCGTTTCTCTTCTAAATCTTAACGGCTCTATTTGTAGGTAACAAAAAGAATTTGTAAATAACAAAGTACAATGGAAGGGCGGGTCATGAGACGCGCGGCAAATCTACCTGAAGAAAGTATACTTTCTTTACATCTCCTCCCTTTCCCGGATAAAATTCAATCACTTGTTCAGACCATTGGAGAAGGGCGCATTGACAGCCGTAAAAATCAGTTTAGTGTCATTTTTTATTAGAAATTCCTTAAATTCTCTCGAGTTTATTGATCTGCGAGTATTACTCCTATTTTGTCGGTTTCTAGTACTTTATTTATCAGCTTGATGAAATCCGCTGCACTCTGAGTTTTTGATGTTATCATAAACGCGTATCTTGTAAAATGGTTCACCAGCAGGTGGAGGTATCTTTTTGTCGATCTTTGTCCTTCGAAGCCTCCAATGGTATCTATTGACATGATTTCGAACGGTTTCGTTGCCGGTCCTAGTTGTGACATCCGTCCATATTTTCCTTGCCCCCTGGATTTGTTCTTAATGCATATTTCGTAGTTTTGGTAAACTTTTTTTATATTTGCAGTAATACCTTTAGCTGTATAATAAGGAGATATCCTGTTTGTCATTTGTTTGATCCCTATATGATACCATTCAGAATGTATTTCTTTAATTATTTTTAAGCTTAGTTCCATAGATAAGATTATTTTTTCTTTGTTTCTAATTTTTTTATAGAATACTCCGTCTTTTTCTATTAGTTTTGTTTTGGTTCTCTGCAGTGTTCTATCTTCTTTTTGATCTGTTTTTATCTCTTTTATTTCTATTAGATTAACTATTTTTAATATTTCTTTCGAATTTTCGGATGGTTCCAGTACTGGATTTCTACTTAGACTATCTGCTTCAGCGTTATCTTTTCCCGGAATATTTTTTATTTGAAAGTCATATTGTGACAAATAGTATGTTAATTCTCCAAGTTCTTCATCTGTTCTAGCTTTTATGTTCATACCTTCTAATGGTTTATGGTCTGTGAATATCGTGAACTTTCTTCCGATCAGCCAATGTTGCCAATACTTTACCGCTTCCTTGATTGCCAGGCATTCTAAGTAAATTGCTTTTTTTCTCTTTTGTGAATCATTTAGTTTTTTCGAAATGTATGCTACTGGTTTTTCTTTACCATCACTCTGTATTTGTTTAAGTATTGCCACCAATGCCTTCCAGTAATGCATCCGTGTAAATTCTTATTGATAAATTCCTGTCAAATATTTGCAACACTGGTTGAGAACATAATAATTTTTTTATATCTGTGAAAGATTTTTCACACTCTTCAGACCATATAAACTTATCATTTTATCTTAACAGTTTATGTAATGGGTCTAGCAGTATTGAGCTTTTCGGCATGTATTCGTGGTAAAAATTTATTTTTCCGAGAAACTATCTAATATTATTTTGAGTTTTTGGAATGAGAAAATTTTGTATTCAGATTAGATTATCTTCTACTGGTCTTATTGTATTGTGCTCTATTATGTGTCCAAGATATTTCACTGATTCTGTTGCAAATGTACATTTTTTAAATTTTAGTCTGAAACCTTCGTTTACTATTGCCTTCATTACTCTCTCTATGTGTTCTATATGTTCTTCAAATGATACTGAAAAAATTAATATGTCGTCTATGTAATTCTCTGAAAAATCTTTTAATTTATGCTTTCTTAGAATATTAGATAGTATTCTCTGGAAAATGGCTGGTGATGTTCTTAGTCCGAACGGTAGACATGTCCATTGGAAGTACCTCTCTTGTGTAACGAATCCTGTTTTTTGTCTATCTTCAATACGTAATGGAATTGACCAGAAAGCGGAATTTATATCTAATATGGTGAAGTATTTACAGTTTCTTGCTTTTAATATTAAATATTCTATTAATGGGAATGGTTGAGCTTGTGGTGTAACTATCTTGTTTAATTCGCGGAAATCTATACACAATCGTAATCGTTTGTTTTCATCTTTTTTGAATGCTAGAGTTACTGATGCTGCAAACGGACTATAAAATTCCTCAATTAATTTATTTTCTAATAGTTTTGCTACCTGATTTTCTATCTCCTTTTTGTCCTCTATAGTGCATCTATATGGTCTCTTACTGCAGTATTTATCAACCAGTAAGTCTATTCGAGCTTCGTAGTCTGAAACGGTGCCTACATCATATTTCTTTTTTGCCAATATAAAATTATACTTTTCTATAAGATTTTTTATCTTTATTTTTTTTGTATTGTCCAAGTGATTCAGATCTGATCTAAATTCGTCTTTATTCACTTATTCGTTAAAATTTATTTTAACTTCTTTTATTTCTTTCCTTCTATCCAATGTATTTATATTTTTTTTATCTGTATTTCTCTCTTTTGAGATATCTGTAAGTTTTCATCTTGAGTTAATTTGAATTTCTTTATCAAATCCAACCCAATAATGAAATCTTCAAAGTCATTTCTTTCCACAATAAATAGAGGAATACATCAACGTATTCCTCTTTACCGAAAATTTTTACTTTAATGGTTACTAAACCTTTTGTTTGTGTCACACCATTGACCGTCTTTAAAATTATTTTGTTTTTATCTTTCGTCTCTTTTTCTTTTTTTTTTTTTATTTTGACTAGTCTCGAATTTATTAGAGAAACTTGGGAACCTAGGTCATATGTTCTGTTTACTTCTAACTTCTCTTCTAATACTATCTTTACTTTGATCAATGGTATGGTTATTCGTTTTTTTTGTTCTTTGCATAGGTCCACTTCTATCATTGAATTGCTTCCATTTATTCTGGTTTCCTTTCTATTTTCCTTTTTAAATCAACCGGAGTCCTCTGAATGATATCTAATACCCTTGTTTAGTTCTTCACAATTCTTACATGGTTTCTTTTCTTCAAATTTCTTTTCTGTAAAACTGTTCATATTTACTAGATTTTCACATTTTTTAATTTTTTGTAGTAATTCTGTTGAGTTTTGACAATTTTTTCTGTCTATTTTATCTCTTATGAATTCTGGTAATCCTGCTGCTATAAGCATTATCAAGGTCTTTGTACTGATATTATTGTTCACATCCAGTAGTAGTTTCTCTTTCCTCATAGCGTACTCCAATAGTGAACCTACTTTATATCTGTAGGATATGGCGTATATACTTGTATTCCATCCCATGTCTGGAAATGATTTCTAGAATCTCTGTTTCCATTCGTTCCAATCAGCCTCTATTGTCAACGCTGTTAGTGTTGCTGAGTGCCAGTCTAAACATGCCTTATGAAGGAATAATCTTAGAATTTCAATTTTTGTGTTATCTTCTTTAATTTGGAATCTTTGACATTCTTTTTCAAACGTCTCCAACTATTGTTCTGCATTTGAGTGTCTACATCCAAATTTTTCGATTATGAATTTTTCCGATATACCCTTTAAATCTGTTTGGTATTTTTCTTCTATGTGGTTTCTATTATGTTTGTTTATACTATTTCTTTTGGATATAGATCATTAAACATTATATTGCCATTTTCATCAAAATACATCCATTTCCCGTGTGCATTTAATTCATATTTTTCTTTTTTGGCCTCTTTGATTAAGGCTTTTTTCCATTATAGTTTTTTGTTTTTGTTAGTTCGCTGCGGTTACTGACAAATTTTTCATTTTCTGGTAACATATATTTTTCAGTGTCCTCAGTTGTGATAGAGATTATGGCAATCACGTTTGTCTTTCTGTCGCTCGGTGATGTCACACATTTAAATGCGAATTGTAGTTTTCTTTCTATTATAAACCAACAATTGTCATTTTATAATATCTCGCATTGATTATGTGAGGTGATAAACGAAAATATGCTTCTCTGTGAACAAAATAATAAATTTTTATTTGATAATTAATCTTTATTTGCTAATTAGTCTTACCTGTGAACAAAGAAACGACAATTTACGTTTATTATTCACACTATTTAAATTTTATTTAATACATATTATCTAGTATAAATTTCCTTATAAACTCTCGTGCTAACTTTATCTTCTATGTTCTTTTTTCTACTGCCCGTTTCTCTTCCAAATCTTAACGGCTCTATTTGTAGGTAACAAAAAGAATTTGTAAATAACAAAGGACAATGGAAGGGCAGGTCATGAGACGCGCGGCAAATCTTATATTTTCCAGACGGTCCAAAATATAAGACCTTCATATAAAACTTACAAGTAAGATACTATGTGATTACCTATATGATTACCTATATGATTGTTATGTTTATGATTAAAATATTAGACCTTATGTATTCTTACAGCTTAACATAGAGTTCTTATATAGTCCTGGAATGAATATATAGTCCTGGATGACGTAACATCTTTCCCTTTAAATAAGTCGTCCGGAGATTTTGTTCTTCAAAACGTTTTCCGAGTGCGCATCTATTATTTTCTCTAATATAGAGTACCTTACTGATTTCCTTGATGCAGGGGTTGGAGTCACATCACTTCCTTTCATAATCACTGGCTGATCATTATTTATGCTTGCACTTGGCTCGTTGCTATTCGCAGAATCCGCCCTGTGGTTTCCTGGTGATGGTTAACGAACCACGTGTAAGAGAAGATGCGTTAAAGAGCTCTTAGCAGATGCAGACTCCAACCGTAAACCATATGGAGCGTATACCCTCTCATTATTGCGTCCACGGAGAGTTTGATCCCTTTGATCATCGTGAATATTCCGATTAATCCGTACTTGCCGATTCGAAGTCTAATCCACGTTTGTCTGTTCGTATTCTGCCAGCTAGATGAGCTGGATATAGATTTCTATGGAGTTTGGCGTTTGCATAGGGATATTGCTGTCCCCCGTGTCCAACAGTGATAGAGTCGTGATGTTCATAGATGCTCCTCCACAATCGTATTCTAACAGGGCGAAGCAGATTTTGGCCGAACATACAATTATTACCGTTATCGCTAACGCCTGCATAGTTCTGAAATAGAATGTTACTCGACTTATCCTTAGGTATTTTTAGTTTATTACAATTTACTATTTTTGTTGTTCCGTCTATCTATAATTTAACATTATTTTGAGGTAGCAGTTCTAGAATCTTATATCGAACCTTTATATCGAACTCCAAATTTTGATGGAGATTGATATTTTCAGCAAAAAGACCTCGTCTCCTTTTAATGTTTAAAGATTTATCTTACGGTCATAATATTTG